GTTGAAATAAGAAGGGAAAAAAAGAGCTCACCAGCTGAATTGCTCACCTGCATGCATGATCTCCTTTTAGATACAGATGTTGTGAAAAAGACGAATCAGAATGAACAACGATTGAAATTATAAGCCACCTTTTATGGATATTCTGAATTAATATAGCATAAAAATTAAATATATTTCAATATCTCACCAAATCTTTTTGCTATGTGCAATATTTTCATAACATTTGACAATGAAATGGTCAAACTGAAGTGAGTTTGGGTACACTGAATAAAGCAACTTTTTTTTAAACCGAGATACGAGTATAAACCCTTCATTTGCCTGTACAATTTATTTCAGTTAATTTATTGTAATAATGAAATATGGAGATAACGATTCGGAACATACAGTTTTCAAGCTCAAAAGTTCATTTAAACAATACAAATCAGGAGCATGGGGGAGTGAGCATCCCCCTGCCGACTGGTCACACCCGCCGTGTACTCCTTGTCATGAACGGGAAAAACGGAACAATCCGTTAATTCAGTGTGTAAATAATGGCCTAACAATTAGTATGAAAAACGTCAGTCAACATTTGACTTAGTGATAGATTGTATTTGCTGACAAGGTCATTGTATCGACCATAGGACTTGCGAAATGATGACTTTAAGCAAACCCGCGACCTACCTTATAGGAGACTGTTGATATTTTTGTTTCATCAACTTGTTTGTCAATAGCTTGCCTCCTTTTAGAAATTGTTCGTAAGTAGAGCATGTTATTGCGTATCGGATCAACTGAGAAACATAAACCCCATATGCAGGTGATAAGGGTATATTGTTACATAAGTAGGGAAAGTTGACGATTGAAAAATTGGAGTCATCACATTTATCATAAAGCTTTGTTGTAGGTTACCATTAACGTCTTTTTCTAATCTTGTAAAATAACCAATTTGAATATGAAACAGATGTGTCAGACTCTGTCATATCTTTTATTTCAAGCTCACTTGGTTATATCGAGTCAACATATGAATGGAAGTAACTATTGTTAATTGATAATACGTCGTCAATATATCTAAATCTCGAGTTGATGGACATAGCAAGTGTTTTCTTCTCATATACATGATTTTGAATAAATTCTGCTTCATATGAATACAAAAAAAATAAGCCGACTACTAATAACGGGGCGCAGTCGGTACCCATGGGAATTCCGACGGATTGTTGGAAGACCTGGCCCTGGGGCCATAAAACTTATATGAGCTCACTTTTGATCTCAGTCTCACTTTTATCAAAGGAATTAATAATGGAAAAGTGAGACTGAGATCAAAAGTGAGCCCGTCTAAGTTTTATGGCCCCGGGTCTAGGTCTCCAAAAACTACATAGATATTGTCAATCAGAAACTCAAGCATCTTTTTAATGTCAACTTCAGACTTGTGTGCACACTCAGAATGTTTCTTTTTTACCAAAATAATGTTGCAAATGACAAGGTAGTAAATTTACGAGTTCCATATTTATTGAAAAGAATCAGCTGTAAATGTCAAAAAGCCTAGACTCGGTGTATATATACTTATGTATAATTCGGGAAAATTGGCTTCTAGGTACATACTGTTGGTTAAAGAGAGGTATTGGTGCTATCGGTGATTTCAAGCTCAAAGACAGGCTACGGACGAAGACCGATCAACAAAACTCTTTTGAGCCTTTGGCTTTGGTGAGTTAACAACAGAAAAATTATTTAAGTTTATAAATATGATATTGACGGGTTGGCATCAATAATAGAGTATTTCTCTTCTCATTTTTTGGTTAACAAAATGATCTAGTAATTATTTGTATCTTCATTTTTTTAGGCTGCAAAGGTATCGCCAAGTATATAATGTTTATAGATCTGCTCCTTATCAAAAACGACCTTGGATAATTTTCTTGACATGCATCACTTAGATTACGAGCCATCTTTCTGATGAATTCAAACTTCTTACGTGTCTCTATAGCTCAGTGATGTGGCATAGGCTTCCAACAAAGGCACTGAAGAGTTCAAATGACCCGAGGGAAGTTCAGGTCTTATACAATTTTAATTCAGACTTTGATTATAATTGTGATTGATTGATTGATTGCATGTTGTTTTACGTCCCATTCGAGAATTTTTCATTCATATAGAGACGTCACCATATACCGGTGAGGTTATAATTGTGTCACAAGCGCAGAGCAAAAGCAATCGTTGTTGTGAAGAATGAGTAAGGAAGATTATATAAAATCTCTGATCGCGAGATATTGGTGTTCATTAATTATATACAGTACAACCAGAGTGTTTTCTCCCCACTCAGGAAGTAAACGGTTGTAGTTCAGTGTGTTAACTGTAACTATTGGACAATACAGAGATTATATGATCTAATTGCAAAGCAATTTACACGGTAGATCAAGATTGTTGCGGTCAGTCCTAATTAAATCGTATACAGCTAAAATAAACTAGACAGACCGCAAATCATTTACTAAATCCAGGATAAAGTTCAATACCAGTATATAACTTCCCAGTTAAAGTCATATTTATAAGTTCAGACTAACTAAAATTAAAAAGATCTTTCTATTTGTTTTATTACTTTATATAAAGATAGGACTTTCCTGTAAATTACACAATTTAAATCAATCACGTTTCAAAGATATTGGAAATTTAAAACAATAACCGATTTATTTACCTACTCCGCATTTAAATAACAGACACAGTTTAAATTCAATTTAACAATGGAAACATGAGGTTATTCAAGTTCAAAATCGGTGAAAATTTTAATTTGAACGTAAATAACATACTGGTATATCATGTTCATCTATAGTCAATCTCGTGTTTTTATTTTTTAGCTCAGATACGCCATATATAACTTTAATATTATTTGAAAACAATTTTCAATGTCACCGCAAGGTGCTATTGAAAACATCTTCATCACGTGACATGAGTTAGTTGATCAATAAAAGATTATAGTCACTTTCATAAAGAAAACGGTCTAATAGGTATGATTTCCAATTCCGAGTGCAAATGCTTTATCAAATTTCACGATACTTTACCAGCAAGTCTAAAGACCAAAATCTAAGTTCAAACATCAGAGAAAAAAAAACAGTTCCTAAGGAAAATTCCATCTTACATTACAAAGTGACATTAGAAGCTGGTCATCAATTAAGGTCACCCTCTGCAGAAATGACCTGTGTACAATTACTTATTCCAAGGTCAACTGAAATACTGGTTAGAAAACAAATTACTTTGACCTTGATTTGCCTTCATATGAAGTTGAAATCACCGATAGCACCAATATCTTCCTTTATCCAACTCAGTTGTAAGTTCATTACCTAAAATTCACGTGTGATCATGCCAACTTGTATACCGGTCAATACAAGCAGAAATTACATTTCAGTTTCCAAAGTTACCATGCATGGAAAACTATTTGCAACACCAACAAGATAAAGTATTTTTGGAGGGAATGTATGATATGTATTACACAATTATATTCACAAACCAGAATTATCTAACGAGACTGTTGCTCTAGTGGTTTGTACTTAGAAAAGTATCAATTGGACTTTGCAACAGCAGTAAATGATATAATGATCCTTGGTTTAGTCTCTTTTTGTGGCAAGATTTATGCAATCAAACTAAAACTGTAGGAGTAGTAGCCTTTTAAGGATATCCGATCCTCAGCCAGGAAGGATAACTCTAAAATTTACTTTATTTAAAAAGTCTCAAAATGAAGCTTGGAATTGAGATCTTTTCGTGCAACAGTTTTCATTTTATGCATCTTAATATGATTCAAGGTTCTTTGAAGTCTTAGAAATAATCTTGTAAAAAGTTGACATTTGTATCCCATAAAAGAAAAAAATGAATTCATTTTTAGAGAAATCAAATTTTCTTTAGTCTAGCATTAGATACCACTGCTTATTAGCATATGAAATTAGATGCTATATGTGATGTCTAGCAATGATAGCACATGCAAGCTTTTTTACACTATGTATTATATCACTATTGAAGTTAAAAAAAGGGAACTAAAATACTGTATAAGCATAAAAAGATGCCATTTTCTCCGAATGCCTGGATAACTATGTTTTTCTATCCTAAATTATATTTGTTGATCATTTTCAATTGGAAAAAGCATAGCTGGTGTTTTTATTCGCATTTTCTGAAAATATATTTGAGATTTGATAATTTTCCCTATATAATATGATGAACTTTAAAGAAATTCCATGGGTAAATTCACGTTACTATGTGAAATCAGAGACATTTTCAATTACTTAAAAGCTGATTTTTAGAACCTGAGGATCGGACTACCTTAAAGGAATTTTAAAGAAATTTGGATTTTGGTCATGACAACAACATTCATCAAAATCGAAAACAGATACAATTATGTATCTTAGTGTAGTCTACTTGTGTGTCAAGTTATATTGAAATCAGATCAAAACTATAGGAGGAGATTGTTTACAGACGGACAGAAAGACAGCTAGACAGACGGACACCTTATCATCGCATAAGCTCTTCCGGTCTCTGACCAGTAGAGCTAAAAAAATACGATGAAGATTCAGGACGCAACATTCTTTTCAATATGCATCAACTGATAGAGATTCTTACACAGCATGTTCCATGTTTACAAGCGTTACTTCTAATTGATCACTATAACCTTCTTTTGTGCCATATCACCCCTATCCCCAGAATGAACTTTTGAATATGCATGACCATAAAACTTAATGAGGTCATCGTGACCTACTTTTGAGCTGGAACATATCTTATACTAAAGTCATCGACTAAGAGGACCTGTCGAAATATTCAAAGATACATATAACACAGAAATAATTTGACTATGCATGGCCATGTCACTGGGACTTGCTTTTGGGTCATTCAAGGTAAACGTCTTTGTATACAAGCTGACTATTCTTGATCACTTGGTGTATATGATTTCATCAGGCAACACCTGGCCAATGAATGGTCCCTCAATAAAAGGCCATTCAAAAACATTTCACAACAGCTGAAAAACTGAACTAAATAACCAACACAAAAATGCCACAAAAGATAAGTTTTTGTTTTATTTTTTTTTAAGAAAGAAAAAAAAATGAAGATTGATTTTTTTTTGTCGACAACAGTTACACATAGCAGTCAGGCATGTTATACTCTCTGACTAAACATCTCCCAATTCCATACATACACTCTTTTTTTTTTTTTAATATGTAATATTTTGTTCCTGGTCAGATTATATAGAGCTATACAATACAAATCACAGCTTTTCCTTCCCATTTCTTGTTAAATATGCTCAAACACCAATAGTTCACTCACAATATTGTATAATCAAAATGTCAGCCATTTACAATACAAACATATCTGTAGGAAAGAATTTTCTTTTTAACTAAAACATAGAGTAAAAAATGAGAATAAGATGCGTTTGTAAAAACAATCATGTTACCGAACAGAGTTTTCTAATATGTTTATAGAATTCAAGATATGACGAAATGTCGATGGATTAACAGACAGACAGACAAAGTGTATCAATCATTAATGTGTTTTCCTGAGGCATCAGAAAAATTGGATCATATAAAAAATTTGTACGAAATTTTTTTTTTTATACTTTTTTTGTTGATAAAGATGCATTATAATAAAACTAGTGACGTTTACATATTATCTCCAATTCCCCCAAAAAATGAAAGAAAAAAAGTGTTACACCGGAAAAAATATAATGGGAAAAACATACTACATACCTAGTTACACATTCACTGCAATGAAACAGGATAAGTGGAGATTTACAAAGGACAAATGAGATCACTAAATGCTCTTGTTAGAACTGTGAATAACATAGTGTACATTTAATGTAAGTCTTCCATATTAGCACTGATAAATATGGCGCATTAGTTTCAACAAAATTACAGAAGTATAGATAAATCATTCATATCAAGATTACAAAATTTATATTTTTTTTTTTTTTTAAAAATTCAGTTTTTCGAATCTATTTACCCATACAAGTGACTTCTTCTTGCCACCAGCACTCTCTAATCAGAACTTTGATAAAAATCTCAATGTTCAATCTATTGTACTTAGATTATCACCCAATCATCTCCAGTCATATGTACCCTTTTCATACAATACCAAATTCACACTACAAAAGAAGTAATTTCAAAATAATTATAAACACCTTTCCCTACCGCAAGCATGGCCCAAATTGGGCCACATATTATAATGAACAAAAGCTTGTCCTGTGATATGCAAACAACTTAAACAAATACAATAAATTAAATGTGCATAATGATGGTGGTCCAAAGTTTACCCATGTCCATGCAATGTTTCTTTCAAAACAGCACTAACTGTTGTCTAGTGAATTCCATTTTCATTTCTCTTTGAATCTAACTGAATTTGTCAAATATATCCAATACAATAATTCTTTTTCCACATAAGAATTTCATTCAATATAACTTAGTGGAGATATTTACTGCACCAACACTTAAAGCTACATAAAAAAAACAGAAGAGTAAAAAATACAGAAAAATTCTATCATATGTCGTATTCCCCAAGATATTGCAAGTTAATTATACCATGCCGACAGAAAAGTTTATATGAAATCACATCAGTAAATGAAGTCTGCAATATGTTTATTGGCACAAAACATTACAATCATCTCCAACACTTGTTCATGAACTAAAAGCAGATTGTGAAGTTACTTACAGAACATACACTTTAACTTCAAACAGTTTTTGTAGCAGTACATAAACAATTTTCTCAACTGTACCATGGAAAAAAAAGCCCATTTTTTTCCCATTAAAAAAAAAAACAGAATTATATCCTAGAAATTAACAATATAACAATAACATTTTCCCTTGATTCGCTTACCCTTAAATGAACTCGCTACAAAACAGTGAAATAACCCAATCCTCAATCATTCCAGAGTAATTTCCCTTTGACAGTGTGATTTAGTAACCTGACTATCATGATCTATGATCTGGAATGCATTTGTGTCTATTACAGGAAAACTTAATGACTGTTTTTTTTCTTTTAAATTCCATGATGATTTTCTCAAAGAACAAACACAGATTGAGAAACCATTCTCCTCTTTTTAATTACGGAATCATAATTTGTATGACCTCTAAAGGCACATGCACTCATCCTATTGCAATAGCCAGACTCCCAATTTTTTCATATACAAATTGGCAACATGAACCGAAATTTACAAAAACTTTGCATATAAAAGATGAAAAAGTGGGAGGATTTTCCCAAACCAGTAAGCTTCATCACTTAAAATAGCATTAAAGGTAATTCCAATATCAATTCCTGAATTCAGAGTATCATCCAAAATAATTGAAAGAAAAAAACCCAATATGCATACACTTACTGTTGCCAATTTTTTTCTCAATTTTACAAATAATTTTTTATTTTTGTTTTTGTTATCCACATATTGTTCAAAAAATGAGAAAAAAAACCTCAAGTAAAAAAAAACATCACTAGAATTTGGCTATTGTTCACATTTTCCTTTATAACAATTGAAAACATACATCAACATATCAGTAACACAATATTTTAAAAAAAAAAAAAGATGACCAGATTCTATCACAGATTTCTTGCTTAAGAATAAGTGAATATACACAGGGAATAAGTGAAAAAAAATCTATGGGGTGTGTTTCTGGAATGCAACATTTCCCTTTTATTCATCTTTTCTTTTTCCTTCACTGTTTAAAAGACATCTTGATAATACATTCATATAGGCCAGAATAAAGGAAAAAAACACAATATTTTGATAATCTTCAACAAGTCCCATAATACACATGTACACTACAGTGCAGAGTATCCCTGCGTTATAATGTTTCATTTCAGCGGGAACAAACATATAGTTTTCTTTCAGGAACAACATAAAACACAGCTTTGGCATCTATCAACTGATCCAATATTCAACAGTACCCTCACACTCAACATCTTTTTTTTTGATGACAACCATACAATTTACATAGAAACTAGAGGGGAGAAAAAAAGTTTAAGATTACTTATAAGTGCATAGTTTATTCAGAATTATACCAAAATAATGGTCAATAAACTCAGAGAGAGAGAAAGGAGGGGGAGGAGGGTGTCCTATCACAGTGCTTTATAATAGATGTGTTTCCTGTCTTTTTCCACCAATGGGGAAGGCCTCAACACAACAATAATCTCGGAAATTTTACCCATGATACACTGCAAGTCAACTTAAATCAGTACAGGCGATCCACAAACTGGACATTTCTGATTACTGATAAATAACAATTTTTTTTCCCTTCTGCTTATTTCCATTACCTAACACTTTTACTCCTCACTATGTGAACTACATAATCTTAAAAAAATATTCTACAACCAAACAAATTGAACATAATACATATATAAGTACACCATAAAAATATCGTGTATATAGATACAATGTACATTTATAAATATGTATAATTGATAATTGTTTCATTCATTAACCTGGGCATCTACAAATTAAAAATTAATACTCGGACAATTGCACGCACAATCATACACAAACACACACACAAAAATAAGACATGGCTACATGATTGACTTGCAGTATTCCAGGTTCACAATTTTGTCTCCTCCATTTTGTTTGTTGCATTATGGTCCTCGGTATGGCATTTGATATTGTGTCTCAGTTTGCACTCTGGCTCTCGGCGGAGGTAGACAGATAGTCTTCACTGCGTTTGTGAGACTCCAAGGCCCTAATCATGCTTATGTCATGTGGTAGTTCTGATTTCCGACGAAGTAGCGGCTTTTCTTTCCCTTTCTTCTTCGTCATCTGAAAAAGAGAATTATTTCTTTTTAAAGACTTACAGTAACGCAAAAAAAAAAAATAATAATAATAATAAAATAAAATAAAATTCAAACCTTTCGCAAATACAAAGAATTATAACATCTTTCTCATACTGTTCTATAAATTTTAATTTTCATTAAAAAAAATTACAATTCTTATTAAGAAGTTTACTACATCAGAGCACATTTTGCCAGGTACTTATACCAACACAATTTGGATCTATTTTTATACAGTGGGCAGTATCACTGTCTCAGTGCATCACAAAATGACTATGTCCCTATGATGCCATTCAATACAAAGGATGCAGTAATACCACACTGGTTCATATCAGCAATTCTTGTTTCTCCCATATGCTACCCCCCCCCCCCCCCATCCCTCTTCCCCAACAAAAAATGAATTTTTGAAGGGACTTCCCATTGCCACATTTTTGATTCACATTCTTAACCAAGACTTTATTCACTAGATATTTTAATGTATTATCCCAAATTCATGCAAACAAGCAAATCCAAAGAATTTTTGTTTTCTGCCTGTAAAATGACAATAATTAATATATTTATATCCCGTTTCTCTGTAAACAATTACTTGTAAATTTTCCAACTAGCTAACATCATAAGCAAATCCTTGCAGAAGTTTGTTCTCATACTTTACTTTTTTTTCAGTTAGATAAGTCTATCATAACATTTTCTGAGGTAAAAAAAAAAGCACCATTTTAAAACTTGCAAAACCCAGCTTTAGTAAAAAGCCGTAACAAATGAATCAGATTTCTATAGGGAAAAGCAAAGAATTCTGACCAGGTTTTAATTTAACTATGACTTTCCAAGAAAGATGCTGCATTCTATTCATAATATTTCCAACGATAAATAAGCTCATTCATAAAAATATTCATGCTAAATACTATATATTTTGACATTCAGCAAGATACAATCTTCAATCTCTCTCTTTTGCGAGTTATGAAAGCTGTGCCTGAGTGAATTTACTTGGAAGTCAAGATGTTATAAAAAAGACAATAAGTTGGTTGACGCAGCAGATATTTTAGGCAATTTTCTATTTAAAGAATTGTTTACAATATTTTCTTGAAGGCCAAAGAAGCAGGTTTGAAAGCCACCCTTTGATTGGTGCATTGTACACAATATTTAATATCAAACTTCTCATTGGCTTGGGAATAAAGCTCATAAGTAACAGGCAATGTGATTAGCATACAGGTCAGCAGCACACTATATAACCTTCCTTGTGTATGTATTTTCATGTGCAGAGTATCCCCCCCCCCTTTTTTTTTTTTGAAGCAAGACTGCAAGGAATAAATCTTTTCTGTGGAGGTCTTTGAAATATCACAGCAATGAGTACCGAAGCACCAAATGCACAGTCTTTATCTAACATGGCCCATGGGCTACAATGCTCACCTCAGTCACCTTTGCCTTGCTGTTTTTCAGAACAGTGGCTCCAAACCCATCCCCAGGGGGCTTGATCTACAAGACCTCTGGATGGTTGCTTAATTATTAATATGACTCATCATGACATACTGGTCTTTACACAAATTTCTCTTTAAAACATTTTTTCATCCTTATCAAAAAGGTTTTTCATATATTCCTATGTTAAACTTTGATCTTCTATGGTGACCCAAACCTGCCCCCTAGGGTCTTTTGAACATTTGAATCTACACAACTTGGGAATACTTACATGTTCAGATCACTGATCATGGTCCTGTTGTTTTTGAGGAGGAGATTTTTTAAAAGATTTTTTCCTATATATTCCCATGTTAAACTTTTATCTTCTTTTCTGGGCCCAACCCTCATTCATTACAGAAGATTTCATATAAGTTTCATCCTTTCTGGCCAAGTGGTTCTTGAGAAGACACCCTCCCATTTTTTCCATTTTCTTGATTATCTCCCATAGAAAGAGGACAAAATCCTTCATTTAAAAAAAAGCAGCCAAGGATGCTTTGTGGCAAGTTTGGTTGAATTTGGCCCTGTGGTTCTGGAAAAGAAGTCGTAAAAGCCAACACATAGACAAATGGACAGATAGATGAAAGGTGATCAGAAAAGTTCACTAAAACCTTCAGTTCAGGTGAGCTGAAAACTGAAAAGTATATAATTTTCATTTATTTTTTCATTTGCATTTGTCAGTTAGTATTAACAATGAACAGGGGAAAAAAATTAACAAAACTTAATAGAAAAAAGAGGACTTCAAATTAAAGTTTTAGAAACCATTGCAATGAAATTTTAAAATCTAAAAAAATTCCAACAGAAATACAAGTTTGACTAAGGGAATGACTTTCCACCCTACACAAGACATATATGTACAGTTACAACCACAGGCAACATCTTCTTTCTCAGATAGAAAAGGAGTGTGTATGAAACACTAAAGTAAATTGAGAAACCTTTTATACAACTCAAATCTACAGTGAATAATTCATCAAATTTGGTATAAGCAACATTAAGAAAAAACCTGGATGGAACTTGCATAAATTCTGGTATTTATTAGAAACCATGCAGGAGGATTTCAGAATCTCGAAGGAAAGGACTTGTTTGTTAAGATCTCCAGGGGGGTGTCAGATTTTTTTCTCTCAATGTTAGAAGTGTCAAGCCAAATGAGCAGGGATTGTGAATGACTTTGTCCAGTTATATAGTGTTGTCCAATATTTAGTGTGGTCAGTTATTGTGTGTTTAGAGGCAGAGGACAAACCTGAGAATTTAGCATTTATCAATCATTGCCACGCTTTTCATTAGTCCACCATGTTGAGCCCTAAAACGAGACGCTGCTAATTTTACACCATCTTAACTAATTTCTCTTTTTGATACTACTCTAAAATTAGACTATGGTATGTTAAACACTGATATACTGAAAACCTGAATACCTTAAACCTAGGAAATACTCTTGACTTTATATAATCAAATATCTCAACTTTGATATCTCCAACTCGGTGATATTTCATTGATTTGAAAATCATGCAATGTGTGAGATATCAAGGCTTGATTGGACATAAAATCTCTTAGCTCTATTTAAATACCAGATTGTACTGTTAATAGGTGAAATATTCAGATGAGTATTAATCTCAGTATGTTAATGATCAGAGATGTGAGATGTGAATTTACACCAGCATATGGTATTGACAGTATTTAAATGAACATGTACATTGCACAAGAAAAGTAATGGCTTTGCTAGAACATAATTTTATGAAGAAAAAAAACGTAAACATAAAACCTTTGATAATATTTCCTAGCCCTGCCTTATCAAACTTTATCCATTACCTTGCAAGGGTAAAGAGTGGCCACAAGAAGAGAGCTACTCCAGAGAACATTTCTGGACAAAAAGTAAAACTCTTCATAATACATGTAATGGCTATCCCACCTTCCAAACAATAAATCGTCTCTCAAATGTGTGTCTGGTAAGTGAAGGCATTGCTTACACAAATGAATGAGTCATAAATTAAAAGGTATGCAAACTAGACTATATCAAAACACAGCAGTCATTTCAAAAGTTGAACAACAAGTCACCTAGAAATGATGTGAATAGAGAAATGATCACGGTAGACACATTCAATGCCATTTTTTAACTTTATACTCAACTCTTTGACAAGTTTTTACATCACAAAGATCTTCCCCTCCCATACACAGGCACTTGGGGGATGGACAGCCCCCCCCCCCCCTTTTTTTTTCTTTTTAAATTTGGGATCAACACACCTTTTTCCTATTATTGTATTCTAATTTGCACTAGATGTTATCGATAATGTAACTCTTTTGTCTCATCCCCCAAATGCCTGTGCTCCCATACCTAAAATAGGAAATTTTTGTGAAAGTTCCCCCCTTTCCCATTTATGTTTAAGTGTTTCACAAAATTCTATTCACATTTTCCAGAGGGTGGAAACATGACTCTACACTGAGGTATCAATCAGTTGGGGATATCAGAAGATAAATATCGAAGAAAGAGATTTCAGGTTATAAAACGAAGCACAAACATAAAACAAAATTAATCTTACCGAGAGCTGCACAAAATTAAAATGATAAAATAATCAAATATTTATGTTTTCATCATTATGAATCTGTAAGGCTGATTTTTAAGTAAACAATATCATTAAACAATGCAGACAAACAGTATATTTCATCCAAAAAAAAAAAACAAGAGGCCCAAGGGCCTTAACGGTCACCTGAGTATAATACAACAATTTAGAAGTTAAATACACTGATAGATGAAGCATTGTTGCCCTAGCCCCCCCCCCCCCCCTCAAGAACCCCAAAAACTGAGGCCATATATTTAAAAATTTTGGAAGAGGCATCCTTGTCTATCATAATCATGCACTTAGTTTGTTTAAATAATCTCCAGTAGCAGAGAAGTTTTTCAAAGAATCAATGCATTTTCACTATATAATCAATAGAGCCCCGCCCTAACACCAGAACCCCTGACCCTGGGGCCATGAAATTCACAATTTTTGAAAAGGCATCCTTATGCGTTTAAATAGTCTCCAGTAGCAGAGAAGAAGATTTTCAAAGAATCAATGCATTTTCACTATATAATCAATACAGCCCCACCCTAACACCAGAACCCCTGACCCTGGGGCCATGAAATTCACAATTTTTGAAAAGGCATCCTTATGCATCATAACCATGCACTTAGTTTGTTTAAATAATACCCAGGAGCAGAGAAGAAGATTTTCAAAAAATTAAAGCATTTTTACTATATAATCAATAGAGCCCCGCCCTAACACCAGAACCCCTGACCCAGGGGCCATGGCTTTCACAATTCTGGAAGAGGCCCACCTCCTCATCATAACTACGTACTTAGTTACTTTATTAAATACCCAGGAGCAGAGAAGAAGATTTTCGAAGAATTAATGCATTTTCACTATATAATTTATAGAGCCCTGCCCTAACACCAGAACCCCTGACCCTGGGGCCATGAATTTCACAATTTTGGAAGAAGCACTCTTGCTCATCATAACTATGTACTTAGTTCCTTTATTTAATACCCAGGAGCAGAGAAGAAGATTTTCAAAGAATTAATGCATTTTCACTATATAATCAATACAGCCCCACCCTAACACCAGAACCCCTGACCCTGGGGCCATGAATTTCACAATTTTGGAAGAGGCACTCTTGCTCATCATAACTATGTACTTGGTAACTTTATTTAATACCCAGGAGCAGAGAAGAAGATTTTCAAAGAATTAATGCACTTTCACTATATGATCTATATAGCCCCACCCTGGGGCCAGAACCCCTGACCCTGGGGCAATAAATTTCACAATTTTGGAAGAGGCACTCTTGCTCATCATAACTATGTACTTAGTTCCTTTATTTAATACCCAGGAGCAGAGAAGAAGATTTTCAAAGAATTAATGCACTTTCACTATATGATCTATATAGCCCCACCCTGGGGCCAGAACCCCTGACCCTTGGGCCATGAATTTCACAATTTTGGAAGAAGCACTCTTGCTCATCATAACTATGTACTTAGTTCCTTTATTTAATACCCAGGAGCAGAGAAGAAGATTTTCAAATAAATTAATGCATTTTCACTATATAATCAATACAGCCCCGCCCTAACACCAGAACCCCTGACCCTGGGGCCATGAATTTCACAATTTTGGAAGAGACAGTCTTGCTCATCATAACTATGTACTTAGTTCCTTTATTTAATACCCAGGAGCAGAGAAGAAGATTTTCAAAGAATTAATGCACTTTCACTATATGATCTATATAGCCCCACCCTGGGGCCAGAACCCCTGACCCTGGGGCCATGAATTTCACAATTTTGGAAGAGGCACTCTTGCTCATCATAACTATGTACTCAGTTCCTTTATTTAATACCCAGGAGCAGAGAAGAAGATTTTCAAAGAATTAATGCATTTTCACTATATAATCAATACAGCCCCGCCCTAACACCAGAACCCCTGACCCTGGGGCCATGAATTTCACAATTTTGGAAGAGACAGTCTTGCTCATCATAACTATGTACTTAGTAACTTTATTTAATACCCAGGAGCAGAGAAGAAGATTTTCAAAGAATTTATGCACTTTCACTATATGATCTATATAGCCCCACCCTGGGGCCAGAACCCCTAACCCTGGGGCCATGAATTTCACAATTTTGGTAGAGGACTCAATGCTTATTACAATGATGCCAACAGTTTGACTGCTTCATGTCCGGGAGTAAAGAAGAAGATTTTTAAAGATTGCATTATTTTTGGTGGTTTTAGCCCCACCCCTCAGGCCCCGGGGGGGCAGGGACCATGAAATTCACAATTTTTGTTCCCCTTCACCCATAGATGCTATATACCAAATTTGGTTGAAATTGGTTGAGCGGTTCTAGAGAAGAAGTTAAAAATGTTCAAAAGTTAACGCACGACGGACGACGACGGACAAAAACAGATAGCAATAGGTCACCTGAGTGACTCAGGTGACCTAAAAAATGGAAATTCCACATAATGTCTACTCTAATCAGGAACTTGAAGAAGGAAATTGTCTAATAGACTACCACTTCTACATGTAGCTATCTCGTGATGTAAATCAAGCGAAGTCGATAAAAATACGGATAATCCTATGACATGTAAAGCAGGCTTATTCTTACCATAAATTACTATCTGCCAAGCATAGCTGGCTAAAATATGAAAAACCTTCTTCTTTAATAATACCAACAAGTACTGCTATCTCACAAAGGTTTCGATTATTTTACCTTTTTTGATTATTCAGAAAATGATTCTCCTACACATCAACTACTTCTTTTTATTTCAACTTCTTTGAGATTTACAAGAACACCTACGTTCTCTCTTCAGAAACCTATACGTTACACATTATTTCATTCTGTAAATGGATTTTGATCGACTCCCTTGCCCCAAAAATTAAAACACAAATATTCATAAATTCTCTTTTTTCTAAATGACCAAACACTCTACAATATGATACTCAATTTCTGGGTGATTTAGCAAAAAATTCATAAAAATGGTCCATTCTTAAGGACAAAAATCTTAATTTCATGCTATTAATTCAAACAATGGAACTTTAAAAAAAAAAGTTTCAATATGCCCATGCCATTGAAAGGCAAATAATTTTTTTTTACATTACCTAAATTCAATGCACAAATAAGAATGTGAAGTCGCTGCAGAGACAGAATTTCCATCCATGAAGATGCAAATAAAACTTCTCGTTAAGACAAAATTAAAATTTGTTACCAAGAAGAAAGGCACCTACATGTACATTGTATCTCAGTCAAGGACTACACAAAGCAATACACACATACCTCGCTCGCTTCTTTTTGTAACTTTTCAAAATTCGCCATGATATCGCCGTCATTGTCCTCTACACTGTTCGGCGTCCCTGGATTTCCAAATTTCTCCGAATTTAACGAAGCAAACTGCTTAAACTGCAGAGAAAGAGAGAAAAAAAAAATACGTCATCAGGCTTACTTCTCATACGTCTCAGTCAACAACCTTTCACAATTATAAATTTATAACATTAAACAAATGCACCAATGCAATTTTTTTCAGATTTTCCTCAGAATGCATCTCTTTATGACCATTTTGTAAACCAGTCTTCATAATTTACTTGAAACTTTAGGGAAAACATCATCTTATTAAACATACTTGCGGATTTCCCATTGCCAGATTTTGAACTTTACACCAGTTGTCTTCCCTTTGTTTATTCTTTTCTTTTTCCCTACAAGATACAATTGACAATACCGTAAATAAACCTATATTTTACAGTTGCTTTACATTATCTGGAGTACACTGAGATATCCAGTTGTTTTACATTATCTGGAGATATCACAGTTGCTTTACAATATCTTGGATCTTAGATACTCACTTTTGTCTCTCTGTTTTATACTGTTGTGTACAGTCATCAAAGAGCTTCTGGTTCATTTCCATGAACAGTTTCAGAGCATTATAGATGAGTCCATGTATAGTTCTGCAAAACCAAACACCAGTTAATCAATAATTTTGTATTAATTAGAAAAACTAACAGGCATTCAATGTACATCTCATATTGAGGATCATTTCCAAATTTCCAATGTAAATATTGTTGAGACATTATAGTTGATGATTCACTATATGCAAGGCACACAAATGGCAAATCCAAATTCAACTTAACACATTTCTTGAAATTTAGACATTATCATGCAGAATTAATAAAGCTTGCAGAACAATACTTTATGAAAATCAACTTCTTAAGTGTGAACTGAAATATCTGTACATTCAACCATACACACAATCTGCAAAATTTCAAATAGAGGTTCATGCTTCTTATTAAAATGGCCACAGAAACAGGATATGCCGAGAATAATGATGACTGGCAATGAGTTAACACAATCAAACCACACACTGATTAATGAGTAAGCAATTAAAGAAAAAATGACAACACTCTACACAAACAAGCTTTTCTGAAACCAACAGATTTTTAAAAGTCTTGATTTTGCTCTTTATTAATCAATACTAGGGTATCATCTTATTATGTGGCACACTACTAAAGGAACACATTTAGGCCTACTACTTCTGAAAGAGTACTGAAGCCACAATCATAATTTTCTTCCCCTAGATTTAACAACAAATTTACAAACTTCCTATGGGTACGATTCCCTCACAGTGCTTAAAGGGGGGTTGAGAGAGGAGGGGATGATAAAGGGGGAGAGAAATACACAAGATTTACAGAGTTATCTTACTTGTTCCAATGTTCCTTGCTCTTATACAAGGCTGGAAACATAATTGGCAGGATTGTGGACGCGTTATCGCTAATCAGACTTAGGATGTATTCATTATTCCAGAAGTACAACGCTCGCTCAGCCACCTGCAGGTTAAGTAACACAAAATAATTCAACAAACAAACAAAAAAGAAAATACAAATGTTACGCAACCAATCAGTAAACAAGCGCTTTTAAAAGGAAAAACAAGAAAACAAAATTCTTGTTAGTTCAGCTATATATAAGCAATTTCTGCTTGGTTACTTGCAAAAATCCCCCCCCCCCCCATTCTCAAAAAAAAAAAAAAAAAAAATGAACACACTGTTGTTTGTTGTTAAATAATGCTTGTTCATCCCAGTAAATACATACTATTTACCACGAATATGGTCTCAAACTGAATACCTTGCATCTTACAGAATAAAAATCATAAACTTAACAACCCCAACCCCCACTCCCCCCCCCCCCCATTTCTTCCAGCTCTGCAAAACAAAGTAACCAGACAGATTGTTAAATAAAAGCTCCGCTGAAAAATAAAACGAACACTTAAAATATTAATTACAAAAAAAACAAACAAGACCACAAGATGCTGCGGAAGATGAATCCACAAAGCAGAGTAGAAATTGGTCTTACTTATTCCAGTGCTGCTTGGTGCTATAGAGGGCGGGAAACATAATGGGAAGGATAACGCTAATGTTATCACAGATAAGACTCAAGATGTACTCATTGTTCCAATAGTACAGCGCTCGTTCTGCTACCTAGAAAGTCACTCACAAGTCACTTATAACATCATAAAATACCTAGAAAGTCACTCACAAGTCATGTTTCCTTATAACATCATACAATACTGTATAATGGGTAATTTTCGCGATGATACAATTTTTGCTTTCTTTGCGAGCAATTTTTAAGGTTGCAAAAAATGAACTCCCATTAAATTGCCACCAATTTAACTTAACTAAAAATAATGTTATGGCATATTTTCTCAAAAATTGCAATATGCAGAAACAATCCATTATAAAGTATACACAAGGACTTGTAGTGCCCTTATGGGGTCATCAAATTTTGCATCTTGATAGTGTTTGGGTAAATTTTTCATGACCTGAACACCCACCTTGCATCAGATAACTTTGCCCAATCCATGCTTAAAATTTTTGAATATGATTGCTCTAAATGGACATATATACTTTTAAAACTAATTTTGGCAATGTCCATAAAAAATAATTAAATATCAAGAAAAAATTACTCTCAATATTATACAGATGAACTGTGAGTGCCAGAGTAACTGGTGAAGGGTCGTTATAGGTGTGATCAAGTTCTGGTAAAGTGTCAGACATGATGAATCCACCCACAATGACTATCACTATCTGTTTTCTAAATAGTCACAGATTTGGAATATATTGTAAAGCTTTCACACTTCAATAAAATGTGATAAGATATATATAATCTGCATAGCATCAAATGAAGAAACATCTCTGTACAGTGTACAGCAAATGCTGACTTTTTCTTCACTACCATCATTTTTCCCAGCTTTAGCTAAAAGTGGGAGATACATGTATTAATTTGACTCTGTCCATCCTTTTGCTCACAAGTCTGTCATTCTGTCTGTCTGTATCAATTTAATTTCCAGATCTTATTTTGAAAAGTCCTTTAACTTTTGCAATCTTTTTTTCCTCTCTTGCTCCTATTTCTTAATGTCACAAACTTTAAAAAAGCTCCAACTTTACAATAACCCATAAATTTTGCCAACATACCTTCATGCATATACATGTATAATATAATTTTCTGAGAGGAGCATATTTCCGAAATAAAATATAAGCAAAATACATGTGTAATGCACCAAAATTTCAAATATTACCCAGTTAAGTTATACAATAATTTTTTTTCAGTTGAAGAAATTCATTATATGCAAACCTGGAAATGTGGACTGGAGACACATTTAGCTAACTGTTTAAAAAGAGGAACCATGATTTTGTTAAATTCTGCAGGTTCTATCACATCCATTATTTCTTCTAGTTCATTCAGGAACATCACCTGTCAATCAATAGATTACACAATTTTACATTTATTTTACAAAGGTTTGTCATGTGTAAACATTCAATAAATGTTTCACGAAGAATGAAAGAAATATGTCAATACACATTGTGAAATGTTCTGCTATTCAAAATACACAGTGTTGAAATAAATAAGAATGCTATAACACACCTTCACTTTTGTTTTGTTTAGTTTTTTAATTGGTCATTTCAAAATATGGAAAGAATTTAACTTTGGAAATTAAATAAATAAATACTTATAAATTTCACCATCCAGTAAATCGATTACCTCTTTTGGACTGTGTACTTTTGGCCAGTACTTTAGAAGCCCCATTATTACCTGAAAATTGAAGATTTATTTTCCCTTAATCATCATGATCATGAGAGAAATGTTTTTTTTTTTCCATGTGAGAAAAGTTTACATAAAAATCACAGGAGTATTTTCCCCAAATTCTTTCCTAAATTCATACTTTAATTTCAATTTGCTGATTTTTTCCCTCTAAAACTCTACTCTCCTTTAATCAAAACTATGTCAGTCAAAAGAGATTTAAGATTTACACGCAAATCAAATAAAATCACAAGAATCCATTATGATCTCTTCATACTCGGATGTTAAAGGCTTCATCAAACGTCAGTAACATATATCCACAAAAAGACACAACCTGATCATACAACTCTTTTCATTTCAAAAATTATTTTCTGCTTCAATCACTCCCATTCCTTACCATTATTTACCCCCCCCTTCCCAAATCCCCTCCCCCCAAAACCTACCGGTTCTGTTAAGCTTGGGTCTTTCTCCAGGAACTGCACCACACAGTAAGCTAGCTGTGGGTGGTACACACTGAGGGATTTGGCCTTGTGTAGGGGAAGCAACACCTTCAGTAGGAACACCTTGTGCTCCTCCTTTAGGGGTAATGCAAACCCATTGATGATGCTGCAACAACAACATTTTCAATTCAAACTTTTACCTTTCTTTATAAAGCACTTTTTGAGCATGCTTAACTACATGGATATTCATTTAAAATGCAGTAACTACAGTATGTATTTTCTTCTTAAACTGCCATAATCTATTTCTTATATATTTGAATTCTTTTAAAAAGAGGACATTTTGTGAACGACTGCACCCCAAATTCAGGGGCTTCACTCCGCTCCATCAATACAATATTTCATCTCATCATGCAGGGCTTACAGACATTAAATTTGAAGTAAGGCATATTTACCAGGTAGGTCAAAAAATGTACTGGTAATAATTGGTACACTTCTTGACTTCAGTTATTTAAATATGCCTTGCTTTGAATTTAATAGCTATCAATCTCTTGTCCCCCCCCCTCCCCCACCTAACCCCCACCACTCTATGAGTTGGTGTATCCACGTCCTATACTCAATAAGTCAGTCATAGTCACATACCTGCCTAATATTTCCAACAATTCTGCTATACCATTGCAATGTTCAGTTTCATAAATATATCTGAAAACAAGAGTTACAAATACATGTATTATGAACTATTTGAGTAGTGTTTTAAAAAATAATTTACATTTTTTACCTCTTCTTTAATCAAAGTATCATCATTCATTAAAACAAACCTCCTTATTTATTTATTTTTTTTTTTATAAAAATGACGTACCTGTAAAACATATTGTTTATGTGTTTCCTAATATAAGCTCTCAACCCTAAGAATTTTCCATAGATCCTGTGCAATATAGTTTTTAGAAAGTCCCTTTCCCTGGGGTCTTCACTATCAAATAATTCTAACAGCTGTCAAATGAACGAAAAAGGAATATAAGTTATATGTTACAAACATGGATCAATATATACATGTATGAACAAAATAAAGAGTCTCATGAGACACAAAGCTTACTTAGTCACTCTGTTAATAGGACTATTCAACTGAATTCTTTTTTTTTTTTTTTTTAAAAAAAAAAAACAAATCAAACAAGAACAAATTTTTACTTTCAGTTTGAAAATTCTGTTCCTAGAAAAAAAAAGCATATTTTTCAAAGAAAACAGGAAAATGTAACAGGGATAAAAAAAAAATACGGACACTTTTCTGAAACATGCTCTGCATGCATTCACAGACTTGGAAGAAATTCCTGTTGTAAATTTAACTCCATCTCATATAAAACCAACCAACATTATCTAACTTCTAAATGCCCCAAATTTTAATTTTTCATTACCTACATTAAGAGTACATGTCTACTAAGTGTCCAATATCTTTTTTTAGATCACTGCTGGCTCTAAGTACACAGAAGAAATCGGGGTCCTTGTTTATAACGTAAATCAATATATTGACATCACACCTTACTATAAGCTTTTACACCTGTAATTGTAGATCCTACCTGTAATACAATTCTCTGATTGATGTACTTCTTACCTGTAAAACAAATCTCTGATCTATGTACTTCTTCCCCGTGTTAGGTTGGAAATCCGGTGATTCTAAAAACCGCAGGAAAAATTCATACACCAACTGCGAAAGAAAAAAGATAGCAGATTCAAAATCAAGTATATTGTTATGTTTAAGACTTTATTTTCCTGCAAAAAAACATTAAGACACCTCCTCTGTCCCCTTTTCAAAAACATACATTGTTTTAAATCAAAAAAAAAATGGCATAGTTTCTGGGGAAAAATCCTAAGTGATATATTGACACTGACATTCTTGAAAACCTTAGTGAAATACTATATCTATTTTTTAGTACAAATACTTCACATATTTTTTAAAACTTACAACACTGAACCTATTAGCCAGCTTACTTGTACGACATGACAAGAGATTGATGTACTGACATGAGACATTAAATCTACTGTACCAGCAAGCAATTTTTTTGTTCTCTGATCAATACAATTTAGTTTGCCTTCCGTGATTAATATCTATTGTAAAATAAAGCTCATGATGTCTCGTAGTCTTGAGGAAATCAGAATGGAGGATCTTGTGGATCAAAGCAGGAACATACCGTTTCCTCTTAAATTATAATTAATGCCCCTCCCCCACCCCCACCTACCCTATAATACTTCATACATTGGCATTGGTATCAACCTACAGGAAGCATTTTCACATATATTTTTGTACCTATTCAATTAATCAGTTTTGTCTGCGGATTTCTTTTTTTGCCAAAATAAAGACATTCTACTGAGCCCTATTGATTTTGTCTTCCTGCACTCCCACGATATCTGACAACATTTAATCATGCAGATCTAAACACATCAAACACACCAGATAATCTGATGATAAATTTCTTGGAATTAATTGGAAACAAGAAAAAAATTTGAAACCTTTGATACAATAGCTAAACACAATTAAGTCACAGTCTCTATATTCAGTGAGAGACATTACACAATCCAGATTTAGCAGTGATTGGATTTCATCAAGACTCGGTGCCTAGTTCTAAACCACCTACAAAAAGTACCTAGGAAAGAAAAGTAGATCATAAAGTGGCTCGAAACCCACAAACATATTAGTACCCCCAACAAATACAGCATTCAAATCTAATTTAAAAGTTAATGAATTTGTCCGGTACATTGATTCCCTTGAAGTATGGCATCAAAACTGGATCAAAGCTTGATTAATAACCTCTGCTACTTTTATTCCTTACCCCCCCCCCCCCCCACCCCTCCTACACAGACCATATCCTTGTTTTTCTCAATCTGTTTCTATAATTCTTGTAACCCAATCCTTCACTAGAAATATTAAAATATCGCAATTTCCTGTAGATTTTCACTACACACCTGCAGATGTGGCCATGCAGCTTCTAACGTTGGTTCATCTTCCTCGGGATCGAATTCGGCACCACTCGGGTTAGAGGAGGGTGGTATTGCTCGGAACAAGTTACAGGAAAACTGGATAAAAAAATATACATAAAATAAGTACACTATATACAAGATTTATACAAATATACAACAAAATTAATAAATACCTAGTAAATATGGTATCTACCAATTCTGTTATGGATTCATTACTGACATTATTAAGGAATTTGAACAGTGATGATGCAAGTGATGCAACATTTTTTGCATCTTCAACTCTTACAAATTATTTAGTAATTTTTTTTTTCAACTTGACACTTTTTTTCATCTCTGATTTTATTCCCAAACATTCAACAACTACATAAACATATAGTGCATTCCACTTTACAATGCCAACGAATTTCATTTCCTATGAGGAAATGAACTAAAACTTTTATTGTACTAGTATGTATGAAACTTGAACATGTTGAAATGTTTAATAACCCACTTTAGCTCATAAACAAAGTTTATGCATGATATCCTTCATCAAAGTGTAACTATACATGTTTTAAATGCAACTTTTATTTCTGTGTCATTAGAACTTTAAACCAAAGCCTACATAAGACTGCAAGTATACTTAATCCAATAATTAATGTTAATCAATTAAAAGTCTAGACTATATCAAACATCAATGAAGACCCCAATCACCTTCTCAACAGCAATTAACAGGATACATACTATAATCATGATAATATTGCAAATGTCCATATTTTTTTTTTCACCCCTGGTCAAAGAAAACTTTGACCAAACTTTGAATTCCCTAAAAGCAGACTTTCTCCTTTCGAGTAATATACCATGTTAAATTATCTGTTTTACATGTAATTTGTTCATAAAGGAGGGGAGAAGGAAAATATAATGAGGGCTTCATTTTCTCAGTGCACAATATGGGAGTACTTTGGTCAGTATTGAAACACAGGAAAACCAAACTGTAACCCAAGTTTGAAAAGACAAGAAATGGGCACACTTCAGAGAGCCAGAGAGAGAGAGAAAGGAAAGAGAGATTCTCGTTCTGGTAAAAATCTTTTTTTTTAAATCACAAATTCTCCTTATACTGTGTACACCCTAAGTACTCTAATGATTCAACATTTACCACTTGATCAATTTAGCACTGGTACAAATATTAGAACCGACTGATACTTTGCTTTCCCGTGTATCAAGTGTCCTACAAAGCACTCCATTTATAAAACATTCCGAAGGGTCCTTGTGAGCGAGGCAAGCATTGATTTCCTGGCTGGTAATTAAACCTATTGGGACAGTATTTTTGAGCATCTCTTAGGGATCAATACCCTCCGAGCGGGACATCGTAGGTCACCGGGTTAACTACGTGAGATGACAATTACTGTACGTAACACACAGCATCACCAAAATAATCCGTAATCATGTATGTATATGCATGAGTAAGGATAGATGTTAGGGCCATCCTGTTACCCGATTTGGTAGATGACTGATACAGGACAGATTCCTGGTTGGACTATTTCTGTTGATTTGCTATTGACGGGACAGAGGAAACGGATCTGATTAGGACTAATGACCTTACTAAAGCTATTTATTCACTATAAACCAGAATATATCCAAAGAAGGCTTTGTAGATAGAGGGAAAAAGAACTGGATTGAATGTGGGATGAAGAAGGACTTCATCTTGACTATATTTAGTCAAGCTCATGAAGAATATTTCTCTTTTGCAAGCTGTAAATTTTAGAATCCAACTGAATAATACAGGAATTTATTACTGTTGATTTAACTATTGTACACGGTATCTTTCCCCTTTGGGATAAAATGTCAAAATTCTTTTAGTCACAGCAAAGTTCCTGATTAAACATACATGCAACACTTGAAATACATATATGTTTTTATTTATATGAATATTAGGGCTGGGACGATACAACTTTTTCTATATATCAATATGTATCATGATAATTGAGCCACGAAACGATATGTATCACAATATGTTAGATTGGTTATAAAATCTTTTTTTTTGTATTGAAATTAACAAATCATTTCTTCACAAATAAGAATAATTTATTTAAAGAAGTTATCTCATATTATCTGTTGTAAAACAAAATTATTTTACACATGTCAATTAATTGGTGTTAATTATTATGTATTTCATACTTACATTTATATTTAGCATATTTATTTTATATATTAAACCCAAATTGTTAAGTAAACAAAGAAAAACATACGTCAGAATTTTTTTGCGATATTTCGATATTTCTTCATATGTATCAATATGTGTATCATCCTCACACAGAATAGAAATTATCAGTATCTCGATATATCATCCCAGCCCTCTATTCATATGAATTTCTGATCTTGATCTATGATCTTTTGACCTCAAAATCAACAGCGTTTTTTTTTTTAGGCCATGGGAAGTTGCAATATAAAATTTCATTATAAAAGCTGAAAGCCTTTTTAAAAATATCATCTGGAAATGAAAGTGTTACACACAGACAGAATGTATGAACTTCTGACCCTGACCTTTGACCTCATCTTTAGGCCATACGGAGTTGTGATATTTAAATTTCTTTGCAAAATTTGAGACATCGTCCGGAAACGAAAGTTTTACAGACAGACTGGCAAACAGCTATGTGGATGGATAGATCCAAAATAATATCCCCCACTTTCAATGAAAGTGGGGGGGGGGGGACAAAAACAAGAAATAAACTCAAATTGTGTGTATTTTTTCACTTTCATCTGCAATTAAAATATTAATAAGCCAAAAAGTGTGTATGTGTGTGTTGTGTGTGTGTGTGTGGTGGTGGGGATGTTAAATGAAAAAATAATACCATGTGAATAGCTTCTGGATATATGGCATCTGTGATAACCCCTCGGTTGTGTGTGACAAATTCCACCATTTCATTTAAAGCTGCCCTTTTCACTTCCTTCCATTTCAAGTCACTAAGTGGATCTTGAACAAAGTCAAATAGAACACAGCACTGCCTCAGTTTCTGAATGAACAGTTCCTCTCTTTCTGCAGGGGTAGCATCTGAAAGATAAAGTCAGATGAAGTAAAGATAAAATCTAATGTCTTCAAACATGCACAAGTTAAATACCAGGGATATATCAAAGTATTTGTAATCCTTGCTAGTACATCTGATTTTTTTTTTGGGGGGGGGGGGGGGGGGGGGGGGGGGGGTAATACCCTCAGAGGAATGCACATGTGAACTTTTAAAGGAAATTCAGGAATTAATTTTAGTCTGCTAATCCAGTTGACTGACTATACCCAAAATCGTTAAAGGACATGTCCTTTGGTCATAACCTACCAGTACCTATTAGATTCTTAAATCCCTGCATTTCTAACTTTGGCAAAGAAACATGTTTATATGAAATATTACTTGTTTTTTAAATAATTTTTTACTTATAAATGTAAACCCTGTGACATTTTTGATGTCATACCAGATCTTATTGCAGAGCAGATGTGCTAAATCAATTATTAGATGTTTCCCTATCTGCACTTCGGAGCTCCATTTCTCAGTAACATTTGAATCCAAAACCCGTCAAAACCATGACAAAATGTATTAATCATCATCAAAATTTAATATGTTCCACTTCGGTTTTCAAAAAAAAAATTTAACACAAATTTCATATAAACGTGCTACAGCTGCTAGAAATATTGATCTCTGGGTATAGTTGTAAATTACGCAAGTCAAGATTAACGTTGTTTGTTTACACCACATTGTTAAAATTCTGAGTAAACATTGAACCCTGCTCCTTTTAAAAACCTCCCCTGGTCAGATCTTAAATTGACCTTTTAAATGGTCATCGAATTTATCAATACATTTGTAAAATTCTGCAAGTCATAATCTCATTTAAAAGTATGGCCATTCTAGGACTAATAGGTCTGTAATTTAGTGCACAAGATACAGGACCTCTTGTCAAGTCAATACGACAGGCAATATCTTATTTTATGAGGAAGATGAAGGGGATAAAATTAAATATAACGAAAATATAAATATTTTAGTGCCATTTCACATAACCTCTAGGCCAATATTACACCCTCTCTTTAATGGAGAGCTTCTTAATAATCTTTGTAACGTTACCTTAATCACTTTAAAAAAAGTTTTCAAAACTGTCATCAACGCAAGTAGCAGAAATATATCATTAATGTAAATCTGTGATACTCCACTAAAATTCTGAATCATTCATGCGAGTGCATAAAGGTTATATCACTCTCATGTATGTTACATGAAATTTTTTTCCTGAATCCCAGTTCCTCCTTTGAATTATAATTATCAGATTACAGTATATACACACACTTTTTTCGTCACTTAAACTATGGCTTCCTTCTTTAACTTTTAATTCAGATATAAACAAACGTGTTTGTTTCCCCCTCTAAAATATTGCTTACTATATTTACACAAGGCATTGACTACTGCAGACTTATCCAATACTGCATGGGCAGCTCTTTGCTCTTATTTGCTTTTACAAGAAATTATGTTTTTCTTTAAATCATACATGTAAATTTTCTTTTAGAAATATAAAATGTGATTGCCCGAATAATCAAAATGTAATAAATAAATTTATATTAAATTTGAATTCAAAAGCAATAAGAACATTTATCATTTGGCACATGTACAACCATATAATAAATGCTTATGCAACTCTTTCCAAATATTTTCCATCAAAAAAAAATGTGCATGTGGAATTTGCTGTAACAAATTTGTACAGCAGTTCTTATTCTTGCAGTTCTTTTGTAGAGATGATAATTTATGTATAATTATAATTTTTATGACAATCCCAAGGGAGAAATTTATGATCTTGAATACTTATTAAATTTCAGTCTCTCTCAAAAGTCAAAGGTCAAAATTCTATAAATAATCATGATGATAATTTATGTTTATATAAAGAAAATTTGTAGACATGACAATAGAAATGGTTACATTTCAGCAGTTTTCACCTACTGCATGAAGACAACTCTCTAAACATTGAATGAGTATTTATTTAATGTTGTGTGCATGTGTGAGGTGAATTCTAGGATCTCATATAAAATTAATTTGCTATGAGCTACCTACACCAGAATTAACGATCCCTTAGCTGAAACAAGCATGTTTCTTGCTAGTCAGGGTATGTTTTGGTAACAAGACAAACACTGTGAAATAAAAATGGCATACATCATTTTCAGAAAAGGTATTACAAAATAATGTAACCAAAAATAGATAGGTAATACATTCCTTTGAATGGCCTTGCGATACAGATCTCTAGGTATCTCTGCATCATTCATCTCTTCTTGTGACCCTGACCTTGCTATTTTTGTTTGTGCCCTTGACCTTCTTATATTCATACTGGGGCAGAGTCATGGTAGCGGAGTAGTTCAAAATCCCTTGGCTAGTGAAGATGCATATCTCAGTCTAAGCAATCATCTACTCATAGTAATGCTCAACTTTCCTAATTGAAAAGCATGTACATCTATAGCAGATCTGTAGCTCTCTGGTCTGCAGAGACAGATCTATAGCTCACTGGTCTGAAGAGACAGATCTGTAGCTCACTGGTCTAAAGAGACAGATCTGTAGCTCACTGGTCTAAAGAGACAGATCTTTAGCTCACTGGTCTAAAGAGAATTCAGGATAGACATCCAGAAAGCTATAGAACTTTCCATCCAATCAAGAAAGTATATTCTCAGCGATTTTTTTCTACCCGTTGGGAAAGAGTCCGGTACCGGTTCAATTGGGAAAAATAGCATCGAAGTAAATCGTAGGAAAATTTTCTGTCATTAAAACAAATGAAACATATTTTGCGTCTATTCCAACCTCATTACTAAATTACTCTGTGTTTTAGAGAATAAACAACAAGTATTTATTGTTTTTCATATCAATGTCCTTTGTTTTCACATTTTCATGCTTTCAATTTGTCAAAATGTATGACAATACGCTGTTTTCACCACAGGTCCAGCCATATTACGACTAATCTCTACTTTCAATTTAAGCGGAAGTGAAACAATTAGTCAACTTGTGCAATGTTTCATATAAAAAGAAATACGATGTCATCGTAGTCTGTTGCTTGGCAGTTGAATTAGGAATTTTTAGTCTCAAAATTGGTTTAAGAGTTATTTAATGCCATAAATTCCTACAAATTATGTGAGTTTATAAGAAATTCTCCTGATACTATGACAACAAAACATTTCCCACGACTGTTTCAAAAGCTCTCTCAGGTCTGCTATTGAGACCATAGAAAATTTTGCCTATTTACAATACCTTTATGGTTAGCTACTGGTAACTTTTTGCGATGTCATCTTAAAAATGGATCTTATACTGTAGCACTTAGTTTTTTTGTGCACAATAAATAATCATACATTATTTTGAATGAACTGTAGCTCTCTGGTCATCTTTCTCACTTTATTGTAGACCATTTGAACTACAGATCTGCAGCTTCCATATCTAATGAATAACCATATTTTACTGACAAAGTTATGGTTATAAAATAATTCACATTTTCTATGAGATAATTCTTACTGTAATGGTATTTATTATCATAATTTTACAATTTATGACTGTAAATAGGTCACTAGGTCAATAGGTCACACTGTGTAGGGTGACCCTTATACCCATAAACTTTTTAATAATTCATGCATACTTTTATCATTTAGCAGTATGCTATATAATAAACATTCTAACAATATAAACGTATTACAATGACACAGAACATTATCAATTTTTATAATTTATATTGATATAACGATGATATTTTATTAAATTCTGTTGCGTCAAAGCAAATTATTTCAAGGCCGCATATTTTGTAAATATTTTTCCAAGGGCTTTCAGCAACTAGTGCAAGTCAAGTCACTCACTTTATCATTCAAACCAGTTTTTGATGCTAGTGTTATAACAGATGGATTTCTACTGTATCATGTCTTTACAACTGTATATTTTCCCTTTAATTATTTAATTCTAATTAAGATTTACCAAGCCCTGAAATTAATACTTTCTAAATCTGAAACCAGGTTAATAACTGAAATAATAAAGTTTCATAAAAAAGAGATTAGGAAACTCATTTGTTCTTTCTATGTGTTCTTTAGCATTTGGTTAATTGAGTCTGTATCTTATAGTTTAAAGGGGGAGGGGGCTGCCAGTATGTGTATAGCAATGTTTTAATTCTGCATCACAACTGGAGCTATTTAGGGGGACAAGGGAATGACAGTCTTGGGCCCTCAAGTTTTCTGTTCTTGCTTTTACACTGAATATTTGCCAATTTCTATTTGGTATTACCTACAAGAAACACCATTACCTTCTGCTTGAGGGGAATAATTAATTATGTATGAAACTGCACAAAACACATTTTTCTGCACTGTACAAGATGCATGTTTTGCTTGCATCACTTACCTTTTAAGGGGGGAAGCTTTTGCAACTCTCGATTCTTTGTAATGTTGAAGCGTGAAGAATTTTGTCGCTTGTCTTTCTTGATGTGGGGAGGGCCTGTGAATTTCAACTTTGATATTTGTGTAGGGGGTGGGTGTTCTGTGGAGTTATTTTGTGTCTGCGCTTTTTTCTTTGCCTGTCAAAATTCAAATAAATCATTTCCCTGTTGAAATTCAAGAGAGTCATTAATAACATACAACTTGACAACGAAACAGTGGACAATCAAAATATTTAATTTGACTTTTATGAATTGGTCGCCATGTTTTTAATAATAACCATGTCAAATATGGCTGCCCATCTTGGCACCGACAATTTAGTGAAAAACTAAGGCAACAATATAAACGCTCACCTCCGAATCTGCATTTTCTGTACTCTCTTTGGCACCTGTTTTAGCACTGCCTTTAGTTTTTGTCACAGCCTTCATAATTAAAATATTAGTACACACGTTATAGACTTTGTTTTCCTCGTTGATAGAAGCGGCAAAATAAATAATCTTCTATGTCACAACAAGGAAACTTGTGGCATAATTTTTTAAACCTCGCGATTGCTTCAATGAACAAATAAATATTGAAATATCGAACAACATAATCTTACCGTTTCTTTTTTCGATTCCTTTTTTGGCATATCGTAAGAGAAACGTGTTCCCCTTACAAGAACCTTATTCCCTTCCAACAAGAATACACTGTAGACTCAATATACCAAACAAGCAACGTGATTGGTTATTAAAATCACATGGGCATTCTCAGGGCAGGTAATCGCACAACCTTTCGTGTAAGAATAATTAAAGAATAATTAACAACAAATTTTTAAAAAAGAGAATTCCATGTAACAAATTTGAATTAGACCTACATGATATAAATGTAATAGATCTAAGTAGAGTATACTTTCTACAAATGATTTTTCAATGTAAATTACACTGAACTTTGGATCGTTCGAAGCTTGTATATTATCAGCAAAGAAATGAAATAAAATTATTTAGCCTATAGTGTGTACATAAATATTAAATTACAGTTGCTTATTAAAATTATAGAGTATTATTTAAAAAAAAAAAAGCCAAAAATGCAGATATCTGTTGTTAAATCAACTGTAAACACATTCAAGAATTTAGAATATTGTAATTATAATGTGGCCAAGATATATATATAAACCCTTCTCGACAAAGGTGAGACAATATTAACGGTAACCGTCAGACGTGTATATAGTTAGCAGTCATCCGATGTACAAAAAAGCCTGAATGAAGCAAATGTCTATAGCCTAACCTCCACACCCACTGCCACCCCACGTGCCATTCTCCGATGAATTCAGATCAAGGCCCGAGGAGCTCCTGAAATGGCGCCGCAGGCCCTGGCAGTTTGTAGACTTTAAATAAAGTGGACTTCAGAACATCTTTAATCTTTTAGTTTATTACCTTTTTTTTAAGTTTACAGTCGGTATCAACACACGCGCGCAAAATATACTGTGGGCAGTCCAACATACATGTATTTATAGTGCCGAACTGTTATTATATATAATTTATATTTAAACAATTAATGTGACTTGAATTAACGAATTTACTGAGATGTTAAATCTAGTCTTACTTTTAATTTACTTAGTTAAGTATATATATATAGAGACCTTCTAAGGATTTAAATGTTTATAGAGACTTTAAAAGTCTGAATGAGGAGACTGATTGATTTGCCTTAATTAATTCATAATTATTATGTGTGGACATCCTCTCATACTCTACAACATGCAGTCATGCGTACGGGTTCTCGAGTTATAGAATTGACCTGATCATGAATGACGGGTACAGCCGCCGGCGTATAAAAGAGGAGGGGGGGAGGGGGTACATGCTGTTCTCGGCTACATATGTCATCATTTTGAATGTCCTTAATTGTTACATGAAGTAACTGATTATTTGCAAGAGATTTATGCGTTCAATTTTTTTCCTTCCCCCCTCCCAAAAATAAATGTTGAATGGGGGGGGGGGTAGGCGCTCATGTCTTTTCTTTGAGGGTGGATGTTCAAATTCACATACAAAATCTCTGAACATGACCATGATTCTGTTTTGTCCATTTTTTCTTTATTTCCCCTTTTGCTTTCAGAATCTCTCCTATAACGGACTTATAACACACATGCATTTAATTTTTTAAGAACTTTTTTTCATATAGCTTGTCGGGGAGTGTATCATTAAAGTGTGAACATTTAGGAAGATTGGGAAAGGGAAGCCAATGCAAGCGGAGGGAGAGGTGGCAGAGGATATTCGAGCACCCCTTGTACACTCTATTGAATGGATCATCTCTGTGAATTGTATAATTAATATATACAGCATTTGCTTAAGTCGTACCAGGTTTAACTTAATTTTCTTTCTTGGAAACAATGTTATACTCCCTAAGCGTTTGGTTCCTATGGCAATCTTATTAAAATGAAATTAAAACAAGAAATGTCAACGCTTTGAACCCACGCGTAATTTTAGACATTTGCGTTTGCTGTAAGTGTGTGGTTGGTTATTTTTTAAACGAAGACGATAATTACATACGTATAAGTTAAATAAAGTATCATGTCATGAAAAAGAAGAGATTTGGGGGGGGGGGGGGGGCTACCACTGACCATCACATTAACCATGCAATCAATGCGTTCTATAATGATGAAGTATAAGTATAAAAAATGAAAACGGCCAGCTGAAATTTCTACCATTAACCTGAAAATATTAACTTTAGACAAATTTTATTTACTGCAATAATAGACGATAGTTTTGAATATAGATGTGCGTGTACCGTATGTATTTTGAATTGTAGGCCACTATATATACATTGTACAACCAACATGTTTTGTTTTGTTCTGTTTTTTTAAGCCAATACTTTGACATTGGACTAGAAATTTCATCTTGATCCCAGAATTATCAAAAAAATGTTTTACTCACATTTTTTTTTACCTCCGCTAATCGATGAAGACCTCAGTGTTATTATTAGAACAGTCCGTCTGTCGATCAACTGAGAGATAGAGAGAGAGAGACGGGAGGGGGGGGTTTGAATCTATTCTTACATCCTTTAATCCTGTTGCAATTTTAAGACGGAAATCAAGACTTTTGCCAAATGGCATCAAACTTACAGCAGCATTTGCCTTTGTAAAATCAAATTTTGACAAGTTCAGACTGGTCGTAAGCTTAATTTCTCTATACTTCGATAATTTTACAGCCAGAGGGATTTTACAACTATATATTCCTAAAAAAAATGCTTGGAACCTTGAAACCATAACATATTTCCATTATTCTTAAGTACAATACTCTTTTTTAAATAAAAGATCGCAGCCCTTTCATTTTTTTTTTTATTCCAACGAAGCAAATAATTAATTAAGGGACATTGTTTTCTTTTTATTTGTTTTGTTCTTTCATGGCTTTTTAACCTTTTCTGTGTCCTGGGGAAGGGACAGGGCGTCCCGAAAATTTAACAATTTCTATTGTTCGTGCATCGTCGCAAGCCACGGGTTTTGTGTCCATTCTGTTTGTGGAAATAGAATGGACACAAAACCCGTGGCTTGCGACGATTTTGTTCGTGTCGTTGATCATTTTTAGTGCTTTATATGAATTTCCATCCTCGACCTTGTATCTATTTAGTAGATCAGACACATAGGATATACAGTGTTGTTTTTTTTTAATTCTCTCTCTCTCTCTATATATATATGTATATATATTACTTCTTTTCCTCCTGCCAACTTACCTAGGGTTTAAATGATGCATACCATTTATAAATTTGCACCCAGTATTTTCAGATTGACTGTTAAATTCAACTGAATTTTTTCAGACTAATGATTTCATTGTACACACAACTTCCGTAACAGGAACAAGGACATGCATGGCTGATTTCGCCTTTTACTATTAACGTGCATGGTGAGTGTAAAAAGAGATCAGCCAAGGGTATCCAACAGGATGTGTCATGACCCTGAACAAAGGTCATTTACACAAGGTCAAGTCGCAGACTTCAGAGGTGTCAAGATTTAAGGATTAGGAAAAGTAAAAGTTCTAGTAGACAAAGCTTTGCATTGAAAGAGCACCAGGAAGATGTACTTGGCGCAAAGGTCCAGAATATTTTTGTTCTTTCATCGGGCTATTCATGACTTTTTTGGCTCTGTCCGTCCGTCTGTCTGTCTAGCTGTTTGTGGCTGTTTATCTGTTTGTCTGCAGAAACTTTAACCTTGCCCATAATTTTTGAACAGTTGGTACTAAGGCTTTCATATTTCACAGGTGTATCCTTGTGACAAGACTTTTCTTAGGGTACAAGCATTTTTGATCTCTTGACCTTGACCTTAGAGTTTGACTTGCATTTGAGAAACTCTAGCCTTTGCTTTGAGCTGCCATACGGGGGCATCAGTGTTTCACAAACACATCTTATTTTTTTTTATTGTACACATTGTACAAAATTAATTAAAACGATAGTAATTTTTAACAACAAAAAATTACCCCCCAAAATCATACCTTGAAAAAAAAAAAATAAGGGGAGGTTTGGATTCATTGAAGATTTGCGGGATTGAACTTCAGCGATAAAATCTCAGAGTCTTTGTCAGTCAGAGCAACACTTTGATCAATGATCTGGATACAATAGACATTTAATTCTTAATGTTTCTGATAATGGCTCTCGAATAACTCGACTTAAAGATATATTTATACAGAAATATTTTAATACAAAGATGTATGTGTCCTCGCCATTAATTAACAGAAAAAACTAAATTTTAACTCATATTTGCAAGATATACATTCCATAAAGGGAGCGAAGATCCACTCATCTAGAAAAAAAAAATATTTTAAACTGATGGAAATGATCAATATTATCTTCATTGCGTGTATTCTTTTACGGATGTATCCTATCAATACTAATTTGATAGTAGCATATTTTATAGATTTTACAGCAGTAATTAATTTGCGTATGGTTGATACAAATATATGGTTTAATCTTACGTTTGTCAAACCATGGGAATTTTAACTGTTCACTAGTTCAGGTTTATTACACATAGTGAAGCAGATGGTGAAAGTTTGATTCATATCAAATGTTCGTCTTCAAAAATAGAATAGTTTTAAGGGAAATTCAACATCTCCCGAAAAATCTCAGATCTCACAAAGAGAGGGGGGAAAAAAGAAGAAAACTAAATTCAGTCTAGCCACCTGAGCTATTTACAAAATGAAAAAATCAAACAATGAAACATATACAGAAAATCACCAATAGAATTGTTGAGGATTTCCGTATGATATAAAGTGCATTTTCTGAAAATTCAAAAATTCAAAAAGTTCTCATGGGAAAAGGGGGAACTAAGTGATAATTAATTTAAACATAGGTAATCAAAGATTACTAAGCTCACCTCCACGAATGTTATCTATAAGTAAGGCAAATCTCACATCATATTTTTTTCCTAGTTAGTGTACATCCCAAGATTAATATCCATCAATATCAGAATCCAAAGCAAGTCTGGAAGTGTCCATCTCTAGATACATCATCATCCATGCTAATTTGGTTAAAATATGGCTAAAATTCACTCATGTGGAAAATCTAGGTCAGATCCAGCATCCAAAACAAGTATAGTAGTGTACATCCCTAGATGCATCATCCGTGCAAGTTTGGTCCAGGTAGGGCTTACAGTTCCTTGGGAATGGACCTGCTACAAAAAAAACTTTAACCTGGTCACTCATCTGGAAAATCTAGGTCAGATCCAACATCTGAAGCAAATACTAGTATGATAGTGTCTATCCCTAGATGTATCATCCATGCAAATTTGGTCCAGGTAGGGCTTATAGTTTCTTGGGAATGGACCTGCTCCAAAAACTTTAACCTGGTCAATCATCTGGAAAATCTAGGTCAGATCCAGCATCCGAAGCAAGTGTGGTAGTGTCCATCCTTAGATGCATCATACATGCAAGTTTGGTCCAGGTAGGGCTTATAGTTACTTGGGAATGGGACTTGCTCCCAAAACTTTAACCGGGACGCTGACGCTAACGCCGATGCCAACGCCGGGGGTATAGCATAAGCTCATCTCGACTTCGTCGAGGTGAGCTAAAAATGCATATTGGAGACCCTCTGCCCACTATGAAAGCAAAACAGAAGAATGCGGTCATGTACAGTTGTAAAAAGGATAAAAATCACTTAAAGGAAGTTGTTTTGTTTTTTAAACATACCCATGTATCACCCAAGAAGTATATATTTCTTCTGTATATGATGACCAAGAAACATCTCTTGTATATGTAAGCATGTCTTTACATATGCAAGTCTTTGTCTTTACATATGCAAGTCTTGGCCCTTTTAATCTTCCAATAAGCTTCTTACTCTGTCTCTGCTGCTTCTTAGAGACTGAGAGGTCAAATGATACCCTTTATATTGTGCTCACAACAATGGTAAAATTGCTACCACTGACCTTAACCCATAAGCTTTTTCAATCTGGACACTTGTACTTAAGTCCACTACTGAATCTTGTTGCAATGCCGGTGTGTTGCAAAGGTATCAGTTTCAGGAATAGGTATATCCTGTTATTCACATACAACTCCCTCCCCCCCTCCCCAATAAAATTTTTTTCTGAGGCAATTTGAGAATATATCAATCATCAAGTCCTCAAACCTCACACAAGTGTCAAAACATGAAAGAAACAACTGGATGGGCATACAATGACTTTTAATAAACAAACAACAAATATTTTATTTCTTACACGCTAAGGTCAACAAGTTACTCCCGATTCTTATAATAATTTATATATACTTATAAAAAATGTCAAAATTGACAGTTCATGATCAACTACATTTAACATTAATAAATGGTAAATAATAAACTGGCATTTGTGGTACACTGAATTTATTTTGTTAGTTGAACAAAATAATTCTCCATTTATTGGCCCTGAAGGTTTCCAGGGACCAAGTTGATAATTAAAAATATGATGCAAAATCATTTAAAAAAAAGAAAATTAGCACTAGCATGTGTAAATCTTTAAATAAATACATGATATTTTTTCTTTCGGAAAAAAACCCCCATGAAGCAGCATTTTAAATATACCATTTTTGAAGCCGATAACCAAATAATTTTTTTTTGACATGGAAAAAAAATGTTTCAAAAAATTCTCGTTCCTTTTATTATGACCTTTAACCCCAACTTCCCCTTCCCTTTGATTAATAACATTGTAGGTATTTATTGTTTACAAAATACATGGCAACCCGAACAATCACACATACATGTATGTCATATACTTGCAAGGGCCATAACTTGGTCTCTTCATTGCTATCAGTGGCCAAGAAAAACAAAACAACCAGGGAAATATTTTCTTTCAAAAATAAAAAAAAAATCCACTCCATAAAAGTCAAAGTAAACCATATGTTCCCTATGAAGCTTCTTACAAAGTCTCTACCATAACAATTTGTCTTTACTGAAGTCATAAAACATCAAACTCGACATAACATTGACATACATGTACATGTATTTTGATTATTGTAAGAACAAAGAATGACATATACTTGTTGCCACATTTCCTAGACCAGAGACATCAACAATGCTTCAGTAATAAGTAAAATGGTCAGGTATAAACATGTTCTATAATACTAGATCATGTTGTAATTTCCTTATTGATTACAGAGTTCGTCAGTTCGTTTTCTTTATATAATGACACTTATCCAATTCTCTTAACCTGTCAGGAGTTCTACTGAGTCCTACTGTGACACATACATGTATTTAGATGTAAAAATGTTAAAATTAATAATATACAAGAAGTTTTCAAATTTTAGATCAAGAAATATTATACATCAAGTCATCAATCCATACACACATCCTGAAGGCCAACATTCTGCATATTATTATATACATGTACATAAAGGTTCACATTTTGGACAAACATTTCCTTTTTACAGAATTTTAATTAACCCAAGAAAATCAAACATAGAAAATACATAATAACATGTATGTAAATCACAAAGACTTCATATATATTATTTAAAAAAAAAATCTTTACTTTGAAATTAGATTTAAAATAAAAAAAGACATTTATTGAAATTTCCCACAAACTTACTTCAATAAACAGCAACATTCTGGGCCTACAAATTATGCCTAATTTAAAGTAAGAAATGTTCAATCTACATATAAGATGCAAGAAAAAAAAACATCACATACATAGCAACATTTTATTGACTTCAAAACCATAGATTCACTGAAATAACCCTTTGCTGTTGAAAAAAATCTATGGAAGTTACATGCACATTTTGGCACAAACAAAAAGTCATCATGCAAAAAAGCTCTGGGGCTAACATAGAAGTTCAATACATGCATATTTTTTTGCCAAGGGAAACTTTTAATAGGAGAAAATCAAAATTCTTCCCAAACTTTAAGACTACAGTTAATACAAAAACATTAATATTTACAATTTTGTTACAAAAATACTCTTCAAATGAACTGCTATTTGCATCATATAAATCTATGAACATCAAATAATTAATTTTTTTTTTTAATTTTCCATTTGAAAACCAAATAAATGCGACATGTACATTTCACACATTGTTACATAAAACCTGAGTTTTTATTTTCGAAAATTCTTGTACTAACCACATACAATGTCTTGTGGAAGATGACTTGTAAGAAGAAAGCGAACACATTTTCAAAGTAAAAATCTTAATGCATGTTCAATGTAGATAAATAATCAATATGGAACATAAAAAGAGGAACCAATGTATTGCACTTTTTCTTGTACATGTTCTTGCCAAATGCACAGGAAATTAAAGAATTTAATTAAGAATCTAAAAAAAATTGTTTTCAAAAATTTAATCCTAGTTGGTGTTTGTAGAAAAAAATTTAGAGTTCAATTAAATAAACAATAAACACAAACAAATTTAAACTGACAAGATTAAAAAAAAAAATGCAGAATATTTCAAGGAAGGGTATAAATTAAGGCTGGAAAAAGTACGGCAATTTTAAAAATGGGTGAGGAGATTTGGTTCAGGCCTCGTTGGACGATACACAAATGCTGTCAATTTCATCGGAGGATCACATATCTCTAGAGACATAGTCTAATCTGTCTTGGGTCTTGATAATTGTCTCGATGTCTGCCTTGCTGCATGTTGGACACTTTGTTGCATCATCTGCATGTACACTTGACTGAGGCCCTGGAATATCAGTATACAGTAGTAAATATAATTTATACCATATGTATGTAAACAAGAATAGTCCAATCCACACTTTGCAAAAGTTGTGTCCCTTTTCAGGGTCAACTAAAAGGTCAAAAAGGAAAGAAACCATATTTCTCCTCTTTATGCTACTAAACATTTTGGTGTGCTCAGATAAATCCACTGTGTTTAATTTTTTTTTTCTTCAATGTGTGGGTATCCCCATCCTGGCTGGGGCAATCAATATACAAGATGCATAGATTTTTTCCTGGCAAATGACAAAATTTAAAACCAGAAAACTACAAATGCTATCGTGAGGATTCTATGGCTCCCCCCCCCCCCCCCAAAGATGGCGACCAAGGGACATAACTTTTGAAATGTGTGGATTCAACTATTATTTCCATAAACAATGATCATTCTTTAATTATTCTAGTTTGAAATCACTGATTTCCATTAATCAGTGCAATTCAGATCTAGAGATCTCTGGTGAAACTGAATCTCTACTGGACCAACTGAGAACTGTCTGAAGAACAACAGACCCATGGGCCTATATGGAGTATAATGAGTTCCTCAAGGTATGGCCCTGTCTGCCCCACTTGGACCTTATTCACATTTTTATGAAAAATGGATGAGGAGTAGGGTTTTGAATTAATATAATAGCTTTTTGTTCTAGTTTAGTTCCAGTGCAAACAAAGTACATATACATTGAACAAGACACACCCCAGGTCATAAGTAATCTTTTTGTGACTTCCTATGCTTTCCATTAGAAAGTTATGGACCGGAAACAAATTTTTCACTCTTTCTTCTAGTGACCTTGAACTTGCCCAACTTACCTTGGGTCAAGGTCAAGGTCACAACAAACCCACAAGTTATAAACAATCACTGTGTCAAGTATGAGCTTCCAATGTTTCTCTGTTACGAAGTTATGGAAAGTTTGCATGTATAAACAAACAGGCAGGCAGACAAATGATTTCTACATGTATATCTTCTATATATATACCCTATTAAATTGGTGGGGGCATAATTTTTAGACTCAAACATGTACATTTTATGTATTCTAAGCATGACTAGCAACTACTTTTTGGATTTTTGGGGGGGGGGGGGGATGAACTAACCATAAAATGGGAGGTCAAACAATAACAATGCATCTAAATACATGTACATGTTTAAACTTCATATTACACTGATCTTTCGCACATGATTTGTAAAAAACAATTCCTGTTAAGCCCCTGCTCTAAGTTTGTACTGACCTTATCCCAGATAAACTCTGCTATTTGGTCAATATGCTGTCCCACACCCCGGTGTTCCCCGCTGTACCTCACATAAATCCATATCACCAGTAAAATCAGGAAAAGTCCCAGCACTAAGTTCAGTAAATTGGCAAAAGATTCGATTCCCACCAGTCCAAACACTCCTGACATGACATATGAAAATGCCATGACTGTAAATAACACGGCAGGCGTCCGCGCTGAACTGAAAATGTTTTTGCCCTCGTTGTGTTTTTTAAAGTTTTCGTATTGCTCTTCTATTTCAGCTTCAAGTTGCTCGAGGTACTGTTTGCTGAATTCTGGTCCACCCATTTTCCGTGTTGATTTGAATACATCAATGGCACTTTGCCTGCAGCGGAGGTGGTCCTCCTCTAGTCGTTCTGGGTGTAAATATGGCTTATCTCCCCCACAAACCTAAAAGGTGTCAAGCAGTTTTTAATTTGCTTTCTCAGAAACATTTGCAATAACAAGCATGAACTCAATGTAGCACAGAAATTGTACCATAATACTTCTTTTTCTTCTAAAATTCAAATGTAAACTATCCTGAAGTCTCTAAATTTCCCCAAATATCTATATTCTGTAATCACAAGACTTGTTCATCTACAAAAAAAATCTAATATCATAAAATTTTGACAAGGATACCTACATTTTCCATTCTCTTGGAATATTCTGTCTTTGCTGTGGAGACTGCAGCTAAATTATTTGCTTCAGCTGTGGCCTGTCAAAAGAACATAATAAAATGATGAAACATGCAAAAAATATTAACATTGATTATTTAAATACAATATAACACTAGGTACTTGTCTGCATGTTCATGTAATGCATATTTGCAAATGAATTTATAATTCTTTTTTTTTTTTGTTTTACATGTGAATAAATGGTGGCTTTCAGTACATAGAATATGTATTTAAACTTTTCATTAAAATAACATTCATTTTTTCATAACGCTCAGTCTTATTTTCAGAACTTAATAAAAGCATATAACATGTAAATCTAGTAAACTACATGTAACATGGATTTTGTAACTTGTACAGTATATCTAGTAAAATACCTGTATCATGGGCTTTGTAACATGTAAATCTAGCACAGTACTTGTAACATGGACTTTGTAACTTGTAAATGCAGTGTTTTCCTTTTATTTCAAAGTAAAGGGTAAGAGATCAATTGTAACAGGCTTTCAGTTGAAGTTTGTGACAAATCTCTGATGACCTTATAACAATTAAGTTTTGGGTTTTTTTTGTTCCATAGCAGCATTTTTATCAATTGAAGCAGTCAATTTGGCTGGTAGCCAGTTCTTAGGGAAAACACTGAAATGTGGATGTATGTCTAATATACTATCTGTGAAATGGATTTTAATTACTGAATCTGTAACTTGGGCTTTTAACCTGTTAATGTACATGTAGTAAACTCCTGTAACATGAAATTAGTTATTTGTAAATCTACATGTGGTAAAGTACCTGTAATACATGTACGTACTTTGTATCTTGTAAATCTATCTGTATAACAGTCCTTGTAACTTTTAAATCTAGTTTACTATCTGTATACTGTATTATGTACTTTATAACTTGTAAATCTAGAATATTTCCTGTATTATGAACTGTGTAATTTGTAAATCTAGTAAACTACAAGTATTATGGTCTTTGTAACTTTTAAATCTTGTAACATGCACTTTGTAACTTGTAAATCTACTTGCAGTAAACTACCTGTAACATATTTTTAAACTTGTATATTTTTTGTACTATATAAATCTAGTATAATTCCTGTACTATGTAAATCTAGTATATTTCCTGTACTATGGACTTTGTAACTTGTAAATCTAGTATATTTCCTGTACTATGGACTTTGTTACTTGTAATTTTAGTATACCACCTGTTTTATGGACTTTGTAATTTGTAAATTTAGTAAACAAACCTGTAACACAGACTCTGTAACTTGTAATTTTAATATACTATCTGTATTATGAACTTTGTTACTTGTAGATCTAGTAACTACCCCTAACATGGACTTTGTTACTTGTAAATCTAGTAACTACCTGTAACATGGACTTTGGTTCCGGTAACTCCTCCCCTTGGTATATTTTGATATAAGCCTGGAAAAAAAATATTCACATAAGCCACTGCACACATATTAAACTACACAGAAATCACCTTCTAACCTTCCTGCTGCTTACTACAGTTGATTACTTAGTTCTTTCTTTCTTAAATTACACTGTCTAGTTCTCAAAGAAATGATTACAGTATTGTCACCTACACTGCAGTATTCAAAGAACACAATCAGCTATTCTCTTTGAATTGTCATTGTGGGTAACTTTTGGAATTTACAGTCTAAAATATTTCAATGTACAGTTAATCACGTTTACACTGAATTATCTAGATATTCACCAAACAAGAGGTGCATGGGCCAAAATGCTCACTTGGGTCTCCTTGGCCCTGTTGTTTTTCAGGAAAAAAAAAAAAAATTAAAAGATTTTTTTGCTCCTTTGTAGCCCCGACATACACTCAAGAGGTTTCGATATAACCAAAGTTGAATCCACACCTTGGCTTTGCTGTTTCCCATGGATAAGATTTTTTAAAAAATTTTTTTCCCTGTACACATGCAGGGTTCGAAATTCACTATATACAACTCGCAAAACGCGAGTTAGAATTCCCAAATTGCGAGTTAAAAATTAGGTAACTCGCAAAAACTTGTGAGTTGATTTTTTTTTTTGTAGCAAAATTATATAATATGACAGAACACAATGCTTTTGATTTAAATCAGTAATTTAACTAAAAGTCACACTGTAGTTGTATTTTGTGTATTGTACAGAAGTTACTTTTTCCTTAAGTTACATGTATTTAATTCATATAAATTTAACTTTATATGAAAATTGCGAGCAGTCTTATAAAATTGCGAGTTCACTTTCTTGGTACTCGCAGATATTTGCGAGTTGTAATTTTAGGGAGTTTCTAACCCTGACATGCATTATGAAACATTTGATCTTAGCCTCTGATCTTAACCCAGGACCCATAATTGAAACAAGAGGCCCATGGATCACATTGATCACCTGAGCACTTTGGCTAGGAAAAAGCAAAAACCAGTTCAGTATTGAAGAGTTTAAATATAAAAGTGGGAGGGGGGTATGAATTGAACAGTCTTGAACAATCGACATTACCTGAGGATGCTTCTGAATCCATATGACTAATCATGGCTTTGCTATTCTTGAAAAGAAGACCTTTAATGATTTTTCCTATGTATTCCTACATAAAATTTCATTCACCCATTGTGGCCCCTACCTACCTCCAGGGGTCATATTTTGAACAAACATGAATCTACATTATTTAAAGAAGCTTTCATTTTCTTGGCCCAGTGGTTTTTGAGAAGAAAATTTTTAAAAGCCACCCAATTTAGACTGATTTTTAATTATCTCTTGAAAGTGGGTGTAGTCTTCATTTGAGAAACTGGAATCCCCTTCACCCAGGATGCTTTGTAGTAAGTTTTGTTAAAATTGTCCCAGTGGTTCTGGAGAAGAAGTTGAAAATGTTAAAAAGTTTACAAACGCAGCAAACCCTTTGATCAGAAAAGCTTGAGACATGCTCAAAATTATTTTCTTGAACTTGAAAATTTTTCCCTGCCTATCAAGAATATGACAAAACAATATACATGTAGATTGTCCAAAAACTTCTCTATAAACCTATTTTACTACATGTACATGTATAAAAATTTGTGAACTCACTTTGAAATATTCCATTAGATCTCTGGCCGACACAGTTGTTCCATTGATTTCTTTAACAACGAGATTATCCGAGTCCAACAACAGCGGGATCAGGACCTTTAGCTGCTCCTTGAATTCATTTTCAATGTCTGAAAATCATAACATTTACTCATGTCAGGACAATAATAAACCCTTTCTATTTAATTTAAATCTGACAGAAAGTTGAAAGACCTAAGTTTCATATCTGGGTTACCTTTCAATTTCCCTTCAAAATGTGGGTTGGTGGCCACATTAAGACCAGGATGGGGCATGAGAAAACAATTGATTTCCTCAAAACAGGAACGAATGTGCTGCCGAATCTGTTTTAATTCTTGGTGTTGTTTACCAGAGATCTAAAAAACAAACGTACATACATGTAAATTTAACAGATTTCAACCAAAGACTTTGATGCAAAGTACAGTCCCTGAAAAGTTCTACTTTCCCACTTGAACGGTGAGCGAAGTGTGAACGCTGAACGCAACTTGGTGAACGATGAGTGAACGGTGAGCGAACGCAGAATGCGAACGGAGCGCAAAGTGAACAGTGAACGAACAGTGAACGCAAGATGAACGATTTATTCGGAATGCTTCTGATCTTTTCCTTGCATTGAAACCATTCTATTGTATTCTAATGTCAGGTTCCAAAAAATAAATAAATAAACAAATCAATGATTAAATAAATAAATGCTACAAAATTTTCTTAAGAAAGACGATACATGCACTTTAAGTATCTTTCTTGTATGATGTTTAAATTCAACTTAAAGTTTTTAATCACACAATTTTTACCGCTGTTAAACATTGTAATTGTTACCAAACGCTGTAGTATAAAAGATAAAATTATTTTTGTTGGAAAATAAAAATGTCTATTCTTATTTGATATAAATAATCATTACAAATAAGAAAAAAACTTCTGACTTATAGAATGAATTACAAGGGTTGTAACATTCATCCATATATTTCCAAGCCGAGGCGATTTCTTGTAAAATAATGAAAAAAATTAAGAAAGGTCTATGGATGTATTTGCATTAATACACTCGTATTTTAAATTCTTAATGCAATAATATATCTATGTGTCATTTCAATTTTTTATGATGATGTTATTGAGCAGACTTCTACATCTACCTGTAGAATTTCACCGTGATTTTACTCAGACAAGATAATACAAAAAGGCATATTCATATTATTTGTTTAAAATTAAAATTTCAGAACTTGATTTTTAAGTTATATGGTATCATAGTTTTTATTAGTTTTCATTAAACAAATGAGAGAGAGAGAGAGAGAGAGAGAGAGAGATTCTGTTTTCCCCCCTCCCTCTTTTCAGACTTCACCAAATGTTTCTACCTATATCAAACAAAAAATCTTAAATTTATTCTAAATTTATCAGGCAATGAAAGTAACTTTTTTTAATCAACAAATCCATTTATTTGACAGTCATACTGGTTTTTCTTTTAATTTTCCTGCTTCAAGTTCACACGAAGTCCACGTGCTTGACCTGTCAATGAAAATCATTCGACACTGTACAGGTGTGAAAGTCTCATCACACCGAAGACGAAGTGCTAGTATTTCCAACACGTTTTAACATTTTTTTATCATTCCTAGATTTGATTCCAACATTTCTAAAAAAAAAAAATAAATAAATAAATAAATAAAGTACATTGGGCATTAACACTTGAATTTGAAACATACTCTCTGCCAACTTAAAATACATGTACCACCGCCGACACGTGTATATTTTGAACTACTATTGTTTAATGACTTTTTTTTTTAGTTGTATGTTGTTTTGAGACTGCAATTTTTGTGCTACAAAACACATTAACTTCTTTTAAAATGTTAATTAAAATATACTGGAAATACTGACTTAATAGCCGATTTGGGGGTGGGGGGGGGGGTGGGCTCTTAATCATATCGAATGGCAAACATATAAAGTTACGGTTTTCCTATAACTATAGACTTTATATATTAGTATAGTAGGGAAAATCCTCTAGTATATTGCATTTTAAATAAATATTTTTTTAACCACACTATCAATTCAATTCGCTCCAAAGATATTTAATTAACAGGATATCCGCATTACTATGTATAATTCTTAGAACTAGTTCTATCATGTATTTCTGTATTAATTGAAAAAAAAATGTTAGAAATAAATATTTTCGTAATTTTGCTGCAGTTTGTAAATTAATTGACTTGGACAATTATCTATCCATTAACAATTTGTCGCCTTTAACATAACAACAAAATGTTGCAGTGCTTGAATTATCTAAATATTGCCCGTATTTAAATTTAATTTTTCAGCATCATTTTACATAGGTACACAGTTATAACAACATTTATTTTCCAGAGTAAATTACCTTACAGCTAAGTTAGAATGATAAAAAATAATAAGCTAGAATATGGTGGATATTTTTTTTTCCCATGAGATAATCATTCTTTAAACACGATATGTTAATTACTAAATTAAAAAAGCTGTAAATCCTTACTAACAAAAGGATAAGTCCTTTCACTTCGGAGTTCCGAATGACACTGAAGACTGAACGATAAGTGAACGCTGAACGCAAGGTGAACGAACGGAGAGCGAACACTGAATGCTTTGTGAACGGTGAACGCGAGCGCACGGTGAATGCTGAACGCAAAACTGTGAATGGAGAGCGAACGGTGAACGCACGGTGAACGAACGGTGAGTGAAAGGAAAAATGGGAAAGTAGAACGTTTCAGGGACTGTACAACATCATTCATAAAAGTTGGATTCTATAAATTCTTATGATTTCAGAAAAAGAGTTAGTAACTAAACTGCTCACAGCTCAAAAGATGGATATATCAAAGATTTTGATTCAAAGTGA